AGCCATCACGCCTGCCCCTGGCATGGTGCTAAGTGGAAGAACAAGCTTTGTCTCCACAGCAAGCACAACAGGATAAGGCCATGGCACTTAAAGTTTCTATTTTCCCCTCCGTTGTGGCATTTAACTCATTGAACTGTAATTGTGGGATTCTGTTACCTGTGGTCCCTGTCTTGAACTTGACAGGGGCACAGACTGAGTATTATTTCTACCTATATTCATAGCATATTACAAGGCACCTGGGACACTGAATATTTGTTGAATAAATAAGGCAATAAATAAATGGGTAATCGTAGTAGTATCAATAAGAATAAAAACTTGATTGATGTCTTTACTGTGTTTTTCTCTATGCAAGCACTGTGTTTCAATGAATTGTTCCAATTAATCCTCAAGCCAGGACTATAAGGGAGATATTCCTATCTCTGTTTCATGGATGGGAAAATGAAGATTCAGGAATAATAAAAAAAAAAAAAACAAAAACAAGTTTTTTACACAGCAAGCAGCCAAAAGAATCAAGATTCACACTGAAATCTGCTTAAAGCCAAAGCTCAGTTACAACCAGGGACCAAGTATTCAGCATGAGAATGGACTAATCAAGGACTCAAACCCTAGAGCTAACCTCAAGTTTGATTAAACTTAGATTTCACAATTTTCTCCTTCTCCACCTAACATTTCCTTAGGAAAGTACATATTCTTAAAATCCTTGCATTTCTAGTTTTCTCAACACCAAGTCTTTACCTGAATTGGCTTGGCAAGTCCATGAGACAACAATCCTAATAAAACTGACCACCACGTCCAGGAGCCCAGAGCATGTGTGTCTGGAGGGAGGGGCAGCAGAACCTTCAGCTCTGAGTAGTCAGCATGGGTGCTTTGTTCTTTTCAAAGAATTGCTCTTCAAAAAATTTAGTCTAACATGAAGATTCAGGAATAATAAAAAAAAAAATAAACACAAACAAGTTTACACAGCAAGCAGCCAAAAGAATCAAGATTCACACTGAAATCTGCTTAAACCCAAAGCTCAGTTACAACCAGGGACCAAGTATTCAGCATGAGAATGGACTAATCAGAGACTCAGACCATAGAGCTAACCTCAAGTTTGATTAAACTTAGATTTCACAATTTTCTCCTTCTCCACCTAACATTTCCTTAGTAAAGTACATATTCTTAAAATCCTTGCATTTCTAGTTTTCTCAACACCAAGTCTTTACCTGAATTGGCTTGGCAAGTCCATGAGACAACAATCCTAATAAAACTGACCACCACGTCCAGGAGCCCAGAGCATGTGTGTCTGGAGGGAGGGGCAGCAGAACCTTCAGCTCTGAGTAGTCAGCATGGGTGCTTTGTTCTTTTCAAAGAATTGCTCTTCAAAAAATTTAGTCTAACTGAATCTCAACTTACCATCACATTGCAAACCAGAGTTGAACTGGCATTGCTTGCATTGCTCTGCAAAGTCCATGCTGGTGGGAAGCCCGATTTTTAGCCTAAAGCCAAAGGTCTTTGGCCCATTTGTTTTTCAGGACTTTTAGCTGACACCATGTAAATGGAGGGCTCTTTAAAGTACTGGTTTGTTTCTTAGGTGTCTGATAGGGGCAGGCATTGGAAATTCTGGAATAAACATATGGACAAATCTAATCTGTTCACAATTACCTTAACTAATCCCAAGTGAGTGGATAAGGGAAAAAAAGAAAAGCGAAATGATCCCTTTTGGAAGCCCTTTCCAGAAAAGAACCCATTTAGGACGATTTATTTGCACAGTCACATTGTAATCTGAAAAGGCAATAAATGAAACAAGAATTGTTATTTCTTGGGGCCACTGTTTCCATTATTGCTTTATGTGGATTCAATGTAGGGAAAGGATTGACAGCCCTGGAGAACCCTTTTCGGTCCAACATGGAGGCTGACTCGACAGACCAGGCGCTAGGAGCAGGTCCAACATCGAGGCTGAGACACCGCAAACCGGTTCAACATTCAATCCCGTCAATTAATTTGGACCAGACTGTTTGAATTCCAAAAATAAAATTGGACCGCAAAGGGTTTTAAGACCCATCCTGTCTCAAAGAATAGGAGCAGAGATGCAGCAGAACCAGGAATAGAAGGGATAAGAAGGGAGCCTAGGGGGCGCTGTGAAGATGCAGGGCTGGCTCAGAAGTCTCCCACCTCAGGAGCCATGACTACTTAGCGTAAGATGGAGCAGGGCTCAGCCTCAAAGTCCATATCCAGACCACCGAAGATTGGCTCCCCAAGGCTCATGCAGATTCGTTGATGAAAATCTGGATATTTAAGAGACAGAATGTCCAAGATCCCAAGCTATAAGACAGGTCAACTATAGGCAACTCTAATCAGTAGTATTACTGAGGAAGAGACAGCTACAACATAGACAAGCACCTCACACTTAGAGGGTTCATATGTCAGGAGGGATAAACTCAGACAAAGGGAAATGGAAGAGAGGCCTCCAAGATGAGCCGTATCAGCATGGCAGCCACCTAGCCTGACACTGTTCTGGTTTGGAGCTCTAGGTTACAAGTGATGGCCCACTATTGATCTGTCAGGGTTTGGTATGGGATAAGGGCTGATAATAAAAAATGCCAACCACGCATCAGCGGCCTCGTTTCTCTTGAAGTTTACATTGTAGTGGAGGAGAGAGAAAATACAAAATACAAGATATTGAGTCTTTTTCCTCAATATTCGGAAACATGAAAATAATAATGGTTGCTTTGTGTAGATCACAGTGCAGTGTGAGAATCAAATGGAAAAGCCCCTGAGAAACATTAGCAATTCCCTTCAAATACGATGTTATTTCATTGTTTAAAATTGCTTTGAACAGGATGTTAAAGAATTGTAGTAATTAACATAATAGAAAAGTTTAATGTGGATATTGGCTCAGAATGATGAAGAATGCTTACAACTGTTAAAAAAAAAATCTGGAATCAAGTAGAGAAATCAGGCAGTTAAAGGGGTGGAAAATGACTCAGCTAATGCCAGTCGCCAAGTCTGTAAAGCAGCATATGCTCCCTTCAAGGAGAGAGATGCCTCTTTTGGAAACGCCGACTCTCTCTGTGCCAGTGGGAACTGACTGAACGTGGCAATCGATGAGATGGCCAACCACCTAAGACTGGGGACCAGTATTCTCAGGAACCAATCACAGATGGACGTTCATCAATCTGAGCTACAGGGTACAGCAGAGAGGAGAGATGAAGACTGGATGTTAATGAGTGTCAAAAAAGAGTGTAAGGCTAAGGCAGGGAGGGAGGGAGGAAGGAAGAGGGAGAGAAAAAAAAGAGAGAGAGAGAGGGGCTAGGATAGGACAAAGTAATACCAAAGAACAGCTCTGGATAGGTCATCAATGCCAAGATGTTTATAAGAAGTAGGTAAGAAAAATGATGAAGACTAAAGAGAGAATTAAATGTGGCTTTAGTACATAGAAAATACTGGGAAGATTAAAGGCTACACCTCCATTTATCACCTAGCAGAAACCTTGACCCAGAGTAGGCACTGATTCAATGTTAGTTTCATTTTATTTCCCCCCTCCTTTACTACGGTGAGTAATTTACAATCAGGTGTCATCTCTCATGTTGCTGAGCGTTTCACAGTGTCTTCACTGCTGCCAGACTAGTCCTTGGTGTTCAGGGAGTGTTTGTTGCATTCCTGTTGTCAAGTTTTCTTCTCAGGTAACAGAGGTCACAAAGCCTGGGATACCCTGGTTAAGGGGGATGAGAATAACTCCTCAAAAGAGGAGCAGGTTGGAATGTAATGTCTTTATATACTCAAGAAAATGAAAGTATAAGTTGAGGTGTCCTTGAAGATTTCACTAAAAGAAGTGGAAATAATGTCTGTAAAAATGAGATAATGGTGGCTATAGGAACACACTTATACAGAAATATATTAATTTCTTTACTTAAACTTGATGCACTTTTTACACTTTATTGTATTTAATTGCTACTTCAATTGGAAATATGAACTAGAAGGAATATATTTGAAGGTCAATGCACTTTCTGGACTCCATAAAACACATTGGGTTACTGCCAGGAACGGTCAGTAGAACAAGTGGACACATGTTAAGCTGTACACTGACTGTCCCATGAACAAAACAGCCAATGTGGGTAGTGAAGGGGACTTCTACAGTGAGTGAGCCTGTGTCCCCACACAGCATGAAACCAAACCTGTGGACTCTGGACACAAAAAAATTCTGAGAGAAAGAGAGAGAAAACTACTATTCATTCAGGGCTTACCACATGCTTTATCTGTGCTACCTCATTTAATTCTCACAGATAAAGTGTTATAGTAATAAGTTTAGTTAGTATAAGTTAGCATAAGCAAACTCCATTTTGTATTAGTATAGGTTAGCATAAACAAACTCCATTTTATATTAGAGTGAATTTTAACTTTACTTAGAAGTAAAACTTAACTTGTGTGTGCATGTGCACTCCTGATAAGTACCTTGTAACCCCCTGCGTGTGTACCCCGATAAGCCCAGAAGGTACCACCGGAGCGCACTGACAAGAGACACTGAAGAAGCCCATCCATCGGGTATATAAGAAGAAATCTCACACCAGCAGTCAGACACCTGTCTGCCCTCCACAGACTAGACGTCTCCTTGCCCTCCTGGAATCTGCCGTTCCTGCTCTGCTTTTGAGCCCAGATTGTTAGAGGCCTCTCTTTGTGTCAAGAGACCGAGCACCCGCAGCTGCTTATCTGACGACCTCCGTGTGTCTCTGTCAGCGAGTGTCTCTGGGTGGCCTGCCAAGGACTGAAACCCATCAGCTCTCTGGTAAATAAACCTGTGTGATTCTTGCATTCTGTTTGTCTCCTGTGTCTCCTCTCTTCTTAGTTTTGGTTTAAGCTCGGCCGAAATAATAAAGTACCCCTTGACGTCTGTATTGGTATATTCAAATGAGGCGCTCTGGGTCACCTGTGCATACGTTCCCGTAGAAGTGGAACATAAAGTCACTGAGATATACTCAGAGGGATTCATTTTTCCAAGCCAGCCATGTGCTTGAGGACCCACGACCTCCGTGTGTCTCTGTCAGCGAGTGTCTCTGGGTGGCCTGCCAAGGACTGAAACCCATCAGCTCTCTGGTAAATAAACCTGTGTGATTCTTGCATTCTGTTTGTCTCCTGTGTCTCCTCTCTTCTTAGTTTTGGTTTAAGCTCGGCCGAAATAATAAAGTACCCCTTGACGTCTGTATTGGTATATTCAAATGAGGCGCTCTGGGTCACCTGTGCATACGTTCCCGTAGAAGTGGAACATAAAGTCACTGAGATATACTCAGAGGGATTCATTTTTCCAAGCCAGCCATGTGCCTTGAGGACCCAGAGAAAACAATGGCTGTGGCAAAGAACTTTTCTTCATGCCAAAGCAGAATACCATGTGCTTGATTGTACTTTCTATTTTTCTCATCTGCACATTTTCTGGAGATTCTGGTGGTGGTCAGAGGAAGCTTCTCTTATAGTGAGAGGTCTAGTCTAGACTCTGTTCCCACTATTACAGAGAAAAGCAAAACCTTTCCCCTGTATAGACATTTTCTATGTGACAGCCATTCCCCAGATCAACTGCCTCTATTACTGACTAGATGAAAAATATCATAAGTACAGGGAAAGGCAGAGTGGAGGTTTGGGAGTCACAGCTGTAGCTTTTACTTAACCCCCATGCATAACTCCCATTAGTGGTAATGTCTGTGATATGTGTGAGCTGAGAGAAGACTTCACTTTATTAAGAGGAAATGATACATACAGTCACTTACGGAGCAAAATCAAATAGCAGAACTGCTGTTTGTCTATAGGAACTCTGTCTTATTAGTGTCATACAAATGCAAATAGATTTTTAAAGAGATTGATAACATATGGACTAGGTAGAGCCCTAGCATCTGATTGACAGAAGGCTAGTTTTAAACTCAGAGACATATGACATTTTCCTACATTTTACAAGCACATTCCAGTTTGAGATTCATCACCTCTTCCCTTAGTTAGCATAGTAGAATGCAACATATCTAGCGCTTTAACAAATCTGGAAGGCGAAGATCAAAAGGTGGTGAGGTAAGCATGTTTTCTCTTACCTCTACCTTCTCTACTAAGCAAAATTACCTAATGAGTCAACTCATTTCCAACCTTCCCATTACATGCCAATTGCTTAAATCAAATGAGAAGCTCTTTCTAGCTCAGGACCCAGAGCTCAAGTGAAAGTTGTCAGGTTTGATAAAGTAGATTTTTTTCTAGAAGGAAATATTCCCTTCCATTTTCCAGGTTACATCTGTTAGCCTGGGTGCATTACTTTGCTAATACCAGTGTGCCGAGAGCATTTCCAATGAACTTTAATTGTGTGCTTTACCTGCCAGTCTTAATTGTAATCTGACTTCCTTGAGGTACCAATCAGCCCAGTGAGGTAATCATCTCCCCAAGGCCCATAAACGCACCACCTGTGCCTCTTCTGGTTCCCATTCCTCTTTTTATCCAGCGTCAGGTGGAGAGGTGATATGAAGCCTGAAAAGCATTTTCAAAATAGCTTCTGTTTTCCTATCATTAAAGTGGTGCATAATTAAACACGGACGGAATAACCGAGGACAAAAATAATCCTCTATTTTAAATTGTAGTAGTAAAGCTGGTGTGTAAGTAGGGATTGGCTTTTTCCGTGGAGAAGGAATCGGTTCTACTTCATGCTCACGCCTGCCTTTGTAGATTTCTCTGAACAGATTCTGGCTCTAGGGTTTCCTATGTAAATATCAGGGCCTTCTCTTCATATATCTCATCTGGGCCCTCCCGTCTGTTTCCCATTCTCTGTTTCACCTGCTCACATCCCTGATCCTCATGACCTCCCTCATGGATTCCTGAAGAGGGCTCCAGTTGGTTTTTATGTGCCCAGTTTACCTCTGTCCGCACCACACCACGTGTAATAATCAAGCAATCTTTCCAAAAGGAAAATCAGATTGGGCCACAGATCTAGCAAAAACAGTCAGGGCGTTGAGCTTCGCAGAAAGATGGAGTTACCAATTTACACATTAGCACCACTCCCTGTCCCAAACCCACAGAGAAGAATCAATGAATCAAGAAACCTTAAGCAATGCTAAAACTAATGGACCCAAACTGATGCAAACACTAAGTAGAGTAAATCTCATTTTTCACAATATAAATATGTGCGTTACATTTTTAAAAAGAGGACACTACCATAATTAGCATCATGAATTCGTTTATGTGTGTCATAAACTTTTAAATTAAATATTCATGTACAACTAATGACATTTTACTGGTTGAATATAATTTAATTGCATTTCACAGCAATTTATTTATACAGTTTCCCTTTTCAAAATTTCCGTTTTTCCAATGTTTAGAAATAGTTGAGATAAACAATTTATGATTAAAGTTTTTCACGCATAATCTATTATTTTCTTGGAGGAAAAATTCCTCAAGACAAGTGAAAGGATAGGCATATTGCTGAAACTAATGATTTCTTTTGCAAATTGCTCTTTAGAAAAATGTCCTTCCGGTGATATCAACCAATGTATTAGTTTTTCTTTCTTACATTAGGATTGAGGTTAAAAATTACTTTGTGGGATTATTGGCCATATATATTAATATAGTTGTATATGTTTTAATTGTACATACACATTTTTCTCACATTTTATTGATATATGCATCTATTTCTTATTTATCTATGAAAGCTCTTTATGTATTGATTTTAGAGAGAGCAAGAGGGAGGGAGGGAGAGAGAGAAACATTGATATGAGAAACCTCAACGGGTTGCCTCCCATACTTGAAACCTAGGTATGTGCCCTGATGGGAAATCAAACCTGCTGCCTTTTGTTTTATGAGATTATGCTCCAACCAACTGAGCCACACTGGCCAGGGAAAGGTGTATTTATATATTAATGGTAATAATAAAACATTTCTTTGGTCCATCTTCCTAGATGTCTCCCAGTTTCCTAGATGTCTATTTTATTTTATCTTTTCTAATTTATTTTTTTAAATATATTTTTATTGATTTTACAGAGAGGAAGGGAAAGTGATGAGAGTTAGAAACATCGATGAGAGAAACATCCATGAGAGAGAAACATTCGATCAGCTGCCTCCTGCACGCCCCCTACTGGGGACTGAGGCCACAACAAGGTACATGCCCTTGACTGGAATCAAACCCGGGACCCTTTAGTCCATGGACCTAAGCACTATCCACTGAGCCAAACTGGTTAGGGCCTAGATGGGTATTTTAGTCATTTTCCCTTTATGTCAAACCTGCAATAACTCCTCCATGACCCTTAATTTTACTCAATGTTCTTATTTCCTACTTCATTGAAAACCTGAAACAGCTAGAAGAGAACTTTCACAAGTGGCGCATATGCCCTTACCAACACCTGCACCCGTGTACGCTAACTTCTTTCTTGCTACTAAGAATGAAGTAGCTACTAAGTGTGCTAGCTTTCAATCACTTCAGAGATAATCAAGGACATCACACCAGAAATGTTCTCCTATTTTCTCTGTATCACCAACTTCCCCTCTCTACTGGATTTTTTCCAATCATCATATACAGTTGCTCTTTTTATTTTTCCTATCTAAAAAAAAACACCTCCTGCTGTCTTGAATTCCACCTCCAAGTCCCAGTTTATATTTCTTCTCCATTTTACAGCAAAAAGTCTTTGAGATCATTGGCTAATGTCTATATACTGTCTCCCAGTACAGACTTTCCATTCTCTCTTAAACCAATTCCAACTAGACCTTCTTCCCATAACTCCACTGTAGCTTTTGACATAGTAATATTATTAGAATTCTTCTTTTGAAATGTTTTCAATTAATTTCTCAGATACCACCCTCTTTTGCTTTTTCTATCTTATTGTTCCACTGCTAATGGGTTCACTATTCAGTTTATTTTATTTATATCTTTTTAAAACACCATCCCTCTCCCTCTCTCCTTTGCTTATACTAAGTCTCTCTTCTAGAGATTTCCTCAATTTCATGTGTTAGCTGAACAATCTCATAATTATATCTACATTTCAGAATTACATCTTGAACTGCAGACTCAGATTTCTTACTGCCTACTATACAGTATATGGAGATCTAATAACATTGCAAACTTAATAGACCCCAAACCAAGCTTGTGTTATTTCCTCTTAAAACCTGTCTCTCCCAAGGCTTTTCTATACCTTTTATAGCATCTCAATCATTCCAGTGGCTGAGGCCAAAATTGGTCTTGATTTCTCTTTTAACCCCACCCAATTTATCTGCAAAGTGACTTGGCTCTACCTTCAGAATATGTACAGAATCTCACGACAGCAGGTTCTCAAGTAACATCATTTTGTTCCATGTTGTTTAATCATAATTTTGATGAGATGCCATAGCAACTTAACTCTTTTTAAAAGTTTTAATTAATCTGAGAGAGGGGAAGGGGAGACAGTCGGGGGGGGGGGGGGGAGTGAGAGAGACATTGATTTGTTGTTCCACTTATTTGTAATCTGACCAATAAATTTATTTGCATTCATTGATTGATTCTTTTTTGTGCCTTGACTGGCAATCAAACCCATAACCTTGCTGTAACAGGAGGATGCTCTAACCAATTGAGCTATCCGGCCATGGCCTGAGGACCTTATCTCTTCTTTATATAAAACTAGAGGCCCGGTGCACAAAAATTCATGCATTGGGTGGGGGGTCCCCTCAGTCCGGCTTGCTCCCTCTCACAGTCTGGGAGCCTTCAAGGGATGTCTTACTCCTCGTGGGGAGTGGGCCTAAGCCGCAGTCTGGCCTCCCTCTGTGGGAGGCAACCGGTTGATCAGGGGAAGGCGATGCCCCCATCACACCTCTGCTGCTACCACTGCCGGCCGCCGTGACTGCCTGAGCCTCAGGCTGGCCCTGGCAGTGGCAGCTGCCATCTGTGGCTTCCCTGAGCCTTGGGCAGCTGCTGTGGCTTTGTTCAGAAGGACATCCAGAGATGTCCACCCTAATTAGCATATTACCCTTTTATTAGTATAGATAGCTTATGGTAAAATTGTTTTCATTATACATCATTTTGCTTAGTCCCAGAACCTATTGACAATGTTAAGTGAAGAGGTACTGTATTTCTTATAACCTCCACGACTACCACCTGTTCCGTGTGCTTATCATCTTTAATCTAAAATAATTCAACAACTTTGTAACTGGTGTCCCTGTTTCTGCTCTGCCCTTTTATATGTTATTTTCAATAGAGCAGTCACTATGATCCTGTGAAAACATAAATCAAGAAACTCTTTCTGCTAAGATCCCCAGTGGTTGACCAGCCCATGAAGACAAAAATCTGGAGCTCTTTAAATGGCCTAGAAAGTTCTCCACTCTAGACCTACACTATTTCTCTGGGTGCATCTTCTATTTCTATTCCCTGTGTTCATTTCACATTCAAGCTGGCCTCCTTGCTTTCACTCAAACATTCCAGGTGCGCTCCTGTAACCCAGCTTTTGCATTTGATATTCTCTCTGCATAGACCTCTCTTCCCTCTGTATACACATTGCTCAGTCTCTGAAATAGTACATTGCCAGTGAAGACTTCTGTGTTTGTTAAAATTTCCACTTTAAAAACTGAATTTCCACATGACCCATCTTGCTTTATTTGTTCCTCATAGACTGCAGTGGTTCTCAACCTTCTGGCCCTTTAAATACAGTTCCTCATGTTGTGACCCAACCATAAAATTATTTTCGTTGCTACTTCATAACTGTAGTGTTGCTACTGTTATGAATCGTAATGCAAATATCTGATATGCAGGATGGTCTTAGGCGACCCCTGTGAAAGGGTCGTTCGACCGCCAAAGGGGTCACGACCCACAGGTTGAGAACCGCTGGACTAGAGCAACCACTGTGTAATATGCTATATAATTTACTTAGTTATGTTATCCTTTGTCTAACTCCCCAGACTAGACTACAAGCTCCACGAGGGCAAGGTTTTTGCTGGTATTTATTCACTAATTTATATCCCAGAGCTAAGACTGTACCTGGAACACAGAAGGCACTCAATAAATATTTGTTAAATGAATAAATGAGAGAGAATTAAATACAAACTCCTCTTATTAAAACAACTAAGTACCCACACACATGAGCTTATTGTATACATTGCAACAAAAATGAAAAAAGTCACTGACCAGCAAGAACATTTAGTAGCTTCAAGAGGGAAAATAGATCTTCCAAGGCCAACAGTCAGACTGGCCAACAGTCTGACTTATCCACAGCATAGAAGCTGCTTAGTACTAAAGGAATAATCATCTCAGTGTGTTGAGGGAACTACTGTCAAGTTTAAATTCTTTAATAAGCTAAGCCAGCATTTGAAAGCAGGAAGTAAAAATAAAGACAAGGCAGGTATAGAAAGCCAATTGTTCTCATCATGATTGTGCCATTTTCTAATGGTGTGACCCTTCCCAAGTTTAACATCCTAGCTGTGATTGTCTCTTAATAAGTGATAATTATATTATTGTTCCATAGGGCTTATTATAACAATTCAGTGAGGTTATACATGCAAAACTTTAGCATAGTCTCAAAATTTTCAGCAATGTCTTGGATCATTAATATTATTATTGTGTTATTAGAAAAGATGGAAATCTATTTTATTCTAAAAGCTTAGCCTAATCCTACTTATACTACTCATTTTGCTTAGTGAAATAAGAACTATGTAAATTTTACTTATAACTCAAGATGAAATAACATAGATAAAATATTAGCAAAGCTAACACACCAGTGTGTCATTACCAGTTAGGGTATATCCCAGAGATGCCATGCATGAATGGATTAACATCAGGAAACCTATTAATGTAATTCCATATATTAAAAGATTAAATGTGAACAACTATATGATTATCTCGGCAGAGTGCTGATAACACTCAACATTCTTATTTGATAAAACTAAGAAAAACTTTCTTACCTGAAAAGATTTTTTTATCAGGTACATCAACTCTGAAATATGAATCCCTAATGCTATATTCCATTATCTACTGGTGCTACAGGCAAGTTGCTTATTTATTTTGGGCCTCAGTTTCCTCAAATGAAAAGTGGATGTAGTAAGGGTATAGTGCTATTCAATTGATATAAAGATTAAATTAAAAATGTAGTAAGTATTCCGTACACTATGTATTTAATTGTGAAACATAATTCCCACTGTATTGATGAAGGTGAGATGTTCAACATCAATTTTCTTTTTAATATTTTGTTGAGGGTCTGAGAAAATACATTAAAATGAAAAATGGGAGGTATGAATGTTAGTAAAGAATATTTAAAGAAGTCACTAATTAAAAATATTACGTAGAAAATTCTAAGGAATCAGCCAAAAATTATTAAAGCTACTACAATTGAATTAAGTATCTGGCTTAAAAAATAGCATAAGGCATTTGCACAAACTGGCAATAATTTTAAAAGTGTGATTTTTAAAATCCATCCACGAAGGCTACAAAAAAACAACAACACCATTCTCCTAGAAACACATTAATGAGAAGTGTACTAGAACTCTGTCAAAAGTGATGCAGACATTTAGAAAAGACCTAAATAAAGATTCCTTGTTGGAAAGACTCAGAATTGCAGATATGTCAATTTCTTCCACACTCATTAATAAATAAGCACCAATACATTTTAAAATATAACTTTTCATGCTGATTCTACAGTTGATAGAGAAGTGTGCAATAGTAAAGAATTTTAAAGCAAAGATTAACTTGGTAAAACCTGACCCAATTCAAACATGTAACAACTAGAATTCTGGTATGCACAAAAAGATATGGAGATGTGTATCAATAGATTCAATTTCAGATTTAATAAAATTTACTTAACTTTGTGAGAAAAAGGCATATAACTTAACATGCTTTTTGAGAGAATTCGTCTTCTATTTGAGGAAAACTAAACCCATCTTCATGCTTCAACTCTTATCCCTCTATCTTCTATTCCCTGCACTGCAGTAGAGCATCCTTTTAAAATGCAAATCTGACTCTTTAGATTATCTGCTCAGATCTCTCTAATGGCCTCTCATCACAGGAGGAATAAAATGTGAAGTCATACTTGTATTCTCTGAGCCCCTAAACATGACAGAATCCTGACTACCTTTCTAGACCACTTTTCATCTCACCACTCTGCCTGCTCCTCATGCTGTTCCAGTTTCTCTTGCTGCCTTGCTGTGTGCCTCTGCCTGGAATGTTCTTCCACCAGGTTCCTGCCTGGCTCATTCATTCACCCCATTCTAACCAGGATACAATGCCACTTCCTCAGAGAGCACGTCTCTAAAAACCATATTTAAAATAGCCACCCTGGCCTGATTCATTCCTCTTGAGTCCTCTTTTTACTACCTCAGTCAAAACACATTTTTTAAAAATATATTTTATTGATTTTTTACCGAGAGGAAGGGAGAGAGATAGAGAGTTAGAAACATCGATGAGAGAGAAACATCGATCAGCTGCCTCCTGCACATCTCCCACTGGGGATGTGCCCGCAACCCAGGTACATGCCTTTGACTGGAATCAAACCTGGGACCCTTCAGTCCGCAGGCCCACGCTCTATCCACTGAGCCAAACCGGTTTCGGCCAAAACATATTTTGCCATATATTTGTTTGTGTATTGTCCATCTTCCCCCACTAACATTTAAGTCCCATGATACCAGTTTTTAACAATGGTTATCTCTGGTAAGAGAGTAGGAGTAAAAAGAGGGGATTAATAAGGCACTACCATGTTTTATTCTACATTTAGAAAAATTTGCTGGAATTGTTACAGTCATCTGAGCAAATCGTATCTGTTGCTTGCCATCAAGAGTAGAAGTTTGAGCATTTCTGCCCACTGTACTTGGTATCAGAGTCACCAAGGAAAACACAACACAATCAAAGACTGGATGAAACAATGCTTTACTCACATAGAGAAGGGACAGAGCTGGATCAGCTTTAGCAATGACATTGGTTCCCCAGGGCCAGTGTGTCCCTCGCAGCAGCCGACGCAGGGCCATTGGCCTTCATGCTACCCTCTTGGGCCTCAGAACAAAGGATGCTATCCCTTCACTGGTGGAGACAGATATGGCCATGAGGCTGGCCAGGTGATAAATGATACACACACTTAAGCAAAACCAAGGATAGACCTTGAGTCTGAAAGAGGAAAAGATATTCCCCCACCAGGTGATAAGCCCAGCACTGATTCTCAGGGTTATTACCTCTTGATAAGGGAGGTCCCCGGCTTGTTCTTACGTAGCTGAATTGGGTGTAAAAAGACTGCATGCACTCGACTGCCTTTCCCAACATAAAATATGTGTTTTTGACTTGTAACAAAATGATTAAAGAATGTGAGGAAGAGGGTGTTTAAAGCACAATGCAACCTTAAAACACTGAGGGAACTAGCACTGCACATCCTTTTTAGACCCTATTGCATGTTAGGAGACTGCCTTTCCCAACATAAAATATGTGTTTTTGACTTATAACAAAATAAAGCACAATGCAACCTTAAAACACTGAGGGAAACTAGCACTGCACATCCTTTTTAGACCCTATTGTATGTTAGGGGCCCGAGGGCATTCCTCACAAGATTGAACACCTCTGCATCATCTTCCGAGTTCAGCATGTTCATCCAGTTTATAATTGGAGAAGCTAAGGTTTAGGGAGCTCCAATAACTTCTATTTTCTGGTTCAAAAATTTTTTACTTAA